TTACTCCCATCCCTTTCCTGCTTTGCTGTTTCCTCAGTGAACTTCATGATTAAAGTCCTTGTAAAGTTTTAAGGCAGCACAGACTCGATGCCACGCTTTCTACCACGCAGTTATCCACAGCACACACGAATTCCCATCCCTGGACTATGCACCCAATAGGAATTCTCTGCCATTTGGGAGTTGCAGTGATTTTATAATATTCATAACAAATTGTTAAATACAAACAAAGAAGCACACACCTTGGCGAAAAAAAACAAACCACAGTCAGAGTAACCAACCCAAATGCCTTTCTAGCATTTCTCTGGGATTTATTCCATAAACACCTGCTTCATTTTTAATTAAGGGACTTTTCATTAGTCTTCATTTGCTATGGAATAACACCTCAGAGCCTCTAAATATAAGACAAATTATTCCAAAAAAGTAAGGCAGCTCTCAGTTCTGGTTGACAGCATCAGTTAAAAACATCCTTTGAAGGCAATAACTTTAGCTCATTGATCTGATCAGTTTCCATCTAAACAGCAGAACAGATCTAAACCCCAGCACAGAATTCAGTATGGGATAAACAATCAACCTACAGTTCAAGAAATGACCAGTTTTAAAGGTAGAGAATATTCACACTCACATCCATCAATTGTGAGTGACACGCAAATCATCTGAGAATAATCAACTTTTCCCAAAAGGAAACCGACTGGAATCCCTAAAGCCATTACAAAATAAGGGTCATGTTGTAATGCTTTTTCACAACGCCACAACAATCCCCAAATTCAACGTAAATGCTCAGAAACTTTCCTTCTGTGCTCATTACACACCCTGGTAAGCCCTACAAGCACCTGGGTACAGAAATTTTTAAATACTGGAGGACATATAAAAAATGAAAAACATATAAACATATATAAAAATGAAACCTGGGTGCTACACATTCCCTTCCCAGGTTAAAAATAAACCCCGTGCTCTTGACCCCGAGCTGTTGACTGCGCTCGCGGGGAATGGATGGTCCTCTCCGATGTCCCCACAGGACCCTGGCACAGGTGACACCACCACAACAAACCCTCCCGCTCCCCAGCCCGGGGCTTTTCAGCCCTAAATCTGAAACCCAGCGCCAGCCCAAGCGGCTGCGACCGGGGAAGGGAGGAGCCAGAAACTTGGGACTCTCTTGGAGAGGAAAAACAAGTGCCGTTGAGGGCAGGGCAGCGGAGAGGCTGCCCCGCAGCCCAGCACCATGTTCTCCAGCAGCAACCAGCCAGGGATTGGGAGTGGGCTCGGTGGCCGGGAATCGTGGCTCGGCCAAGGCGAGGGGCTCCGGCAGCACCCCGGAATGTAAAAACCCCAATTACAGGTAGGAAGGAGGGTGGGCAGCAGGGCTGGGGGGGGGAAAAAGGCAGGCTGGGGAGCCACGGTGAGAAACCCCCGGCCGTTTGACTCCTGACTCTGATTTTTAACCTGATAAAAGTGTGAGAGCAGCCGAGAGTCCGGGAGGGCTGGGGGGGGTAAACAGGGACTGCAGCCATCCCGGGGCTGAGAAACAGCGTCCGAGAGGGAAAGGGGTTGGTTTAGATCCACGGACTCAAAACTGCAGCATCCCAAACATCCTAGGGACATACCTAGAACTGCCCTAAAAATGACAAAAGACGGGGCTGGGAGGAAATGCTGATCAGGGCACCCGCACGGGGCAGCGCCGCCGCAGGTGAGCGGCACCTAAAAACCAGATTTCTACATTAGCGGCAAAAGTACCTCCTCGGGTAGCTTAGGAATCGTCAACAAAACCTCTTCAGGAAATACTTCTGATTTGGATTTTATTTTTGCTCCTGTCAGAGGTAAGTTTTGTCATTTCCTGAGATTTCATTGTGTTACGCAGTATTGTCTCCCATTTCTAGCAGTAGAATAGAATTGCTTTATTTAACTGCATTTGGAGGACGCAAATTAAAAAGAAAAAAAAGGGGGGGGGGGGGGAATTTCTAAAAATACTTGTGAAACCAGTCATCCCCCTGCTCTATAAAATGTAAAGTGTGGTAGCAGAGACACAAATATCCCAGCAGGTACTCTGTGGCTGATGTAATTCACTCTGGAGCAATCAAAGGTACGTGCTCCAGGAGAAACCTCCCCAGTGGCACGGGGTGACTGTACCCCCGCCTGCCCTTACTCACCCTGGCGTGCGCTCTCTCTAATGCATATATTTGCAATACCCAGTTCCAGTCTGCTGCTCCACTTCAATCGAGCCATAGCAGCTCAATGAGATGTAATTTATTTGCCTTCCACCCTGCAAAACAGCTTTTTTAAATAAAAAAACCCAACAACCCCTAAACTTTCCTAAAAACTTAAAACCACAGATGCTTCCTGACAATAAAACCCAGGGTGTTTTTGGTGCTTAAAAAATAGGATGAGGGCTGAAAGACAAGCTAAAGCTATCATACTTTCTATACATATGCAATACTACAGGTAAAGAACTGATGGGAAACAAAAAAAAGTAAGGTTTTTTTTTTCCACAAAGATGAAAGAAAACTTTGAAAACAACAGAACTGTGTCTTGTGCTGCTGCCACCGCAGTCACTTATCTGAGGAAACCCAGCGCGTGACAGTGGAATAACAATTTGTTTGCCCAGATAAAACGCCTGTATTTTTAGCCTCTTTCTGGCACGCAAAAGAAATGTGAGGGGAAATTAAAAAAAATGGAAGTTGACACGATTCTGGACCAAATTTTGCCCTGTGGCTGAGGGGTGAAAGGGTTAGTGCCGGGGAGATGCAACCACGTAACCCCCCCGCCCCCCCGTGCGCTCACCAACCCCACGGCGTGTAATTTCCCCACGTGGTTCCTATTTTTGCTCCTGTCAGAGGTAAGTTTTGTCATTTCCTGAGATTTCATTGTGTTACGCAGTATTGTCTCCCATTTCTAGCAGTAGAATAGAACTGCTTTATTTAACTGCATTTAGAGGACGCAAATTAAAAAGAAAAAAAAGGGGGGGGGGGGGGTAATTTCTAAAAATACTTGTGAAACCAGTCATCCCCCTGCTCTATAAAATGTAAAGTGTGGTAGCAGAGACACAAATATCCCAGCAGGTACTCTGTGGCTGATGTAATTCACTCTGGAGCAATCAAAGGTACGTGCTCCAGGAGAAACCTCCCCAGTGGCACGGGGTGACTGTACCCCCGCCTGCCCTTACTCACCCTGGCGTGCGCTCTCTCTAATGCATATATTTGCAATACCCAGTTCCAGTCTGCTGCTCCACTTCAATCGAGCCATAGCAGCTCAATGAGATGTAATTTATTTGCCTTCCACCCTGCAAAACAGCTTTTTTAAATAAAAAAAACCCAACAACCCCAAACTTTCCTAAAAACTTAAAACCACAGATGCTTCCTGACAATAAAACCCAGGGTGTTTTCGGTGCTTAAAAAATAGGATGAGGGCTGAAAGACAAGCTAAAGCTATCATACTTTCTATACATATGCAATACTACAGGTAAAGAACTGATGGGAAACAAAAAAAAGTAAGGTTTTTTTTTTCCACAAAGATGAAAGAAAACTTTGAAAACAACAGAACTGTGTCTTGTGCTGCTGCCACCGCAGTCACTTATCTGAGGAAACCCAGCGCGTGACAGTGGAATAACAATTTGTTTGCCCAGATAAAACGCCTGTATTTTTAGCCTCTTTCTGGCACGCAAAAGAAATGTGAGGGGAAATTAAAAAAAATGGAAGTTGACACGATTCTGGACCAAATTTTGCCCTGTGGCTGAGGGGTGAAAGGGTTAGTCCCGGGGAGATGCAACCACATACTCCCCCGCCCCCCCGTGCGCTCACCAACCCCACGGCGTGTAATTTCCCCACGTGGTTCCTGCAGTACAGCATGTTGTCGAGTAACATTCATTTCAGTTGCACAACGTTTGTTGTGGATGGGATTAAATCTCAGTTCTCCCTCTGGAAGGAATGCAGGTACGTGCACGAACGCCTGGGTGCCGGGGGGCGGGAGCACACACGGGGTGTGGGGGGCACACGCGACACGGGGGAAATCACCGGCAGAAAGTCCACGCCGTCCCAGCAAGGGGGCTGGCAGGAATAAAAACCACAGTTCCCGTAAAGACGGGGATGTTTCCAGTTGTACCTCAGAGATTATCTCTTAGTTCTGCATTTTGGAAAGGGGCTCCTCACGACTGCTTTGAAGTTCACCGGTTTCAGTTGAAACGTTATCTCTTTTCTGACGATAAGGCAAAGATAAAGCCGGACAAGGACTGCTGGTGCTAGCACACTCTTCAAAGAATTCGAGCTATTTTGAGAGGAAATGATAGCTAATTCTTGCCTTTTTGGAAAGTCAGGCTGCCCTGATATTAGGTTCCCCTGACTACAGAGGTCCATTGTTTTTTTCAGAACTCAATGGTTATAGGTTGGAGGTCTGAATACAAACTGATCTACAAAAAAACCAAAACCCACCCCTTCGTCTCATTTCCCAGTTTCCTCTGGTCTTTGTCAATGTTATCAGTGATCCATGTACTCCCTCCCACCCCACTGCCTTGGACGTGCCTCTTAAGAAACTACCTGCTCAAGAAGCTTATTGAACACCTTGCAGAACTCTAGTCTCCATCTTACTGCTAAGATTTGTACTCCCTTCTATTCTTCAGCAACTACACTTATATATTATTAGCTATATAAGAGGAACTGTTTAAGAATTAAAAAAAAACAAAACACTGTACTAATCTTCATGTATACTACATTGGTACTTATTTTAAAGATACACAGTTTATGATTAATTTCTGTTGAGTGCCCTGTATCAACTCGCCACTAATTTCATTTAAATTAAAGCTTCAGAACATTTACTAGTCTCGTGAAATTTTGCATCGCAGATGACTTTCTTCTGGACTAAGTAGATCAAAAGGCATTTCAGTCACTGACCTTATATCAATCGATTATGTGAAGTGTGTAATTTCTATCTTTAAAGTGTTTTCCTTGTACTACATTGCATTTCACTTACAATATGAGATTTCAACAATATTTTCACTATTTCTCTCTCTCCAGAACAGCTGGTAACCAGCAGAGAAGAACCAACAGCTGAAATCACTATGTGGAGCTGTGAAACCTTGAACAGCAGCACGGAGAACAGCGAGGAGCAGCGTCTCTGCCATGACTTCCACCTCGTGCTCTCCATCTTCTCCCTCCTCTACCTCATTATTTGTTTCCCGGTTGGGCTGTGCTACAACGGCTTGTTGGTCCTGGTGAACCTCTACAACAAAGCCACCATGACCATGCCAGATGTTTACTTCGTCAACATGGCCATCGCGGGGCTCATCATCAACGCCCTGGCCCCAGTGTACCTCCTAGGCCTCGCCAACACCAAGTGGGCCATCTGGAACTCTAACAACGAAGTTTATATCACTTTGCTGATTTTATTCAACGTCTCCTCGCTGGTTACCATGTACTCTACCACCTTGCTCAGCCTGGACTACTACATAGAGCGTGCTCTGCCCAGGACTTACATGTCGAGCGTGTACAACACCAAGCACGTCTGCGGGTTCATCTGGGGGGGTGCCATGCTCACCAGTTTCTCATCTCTCCTCTTCTACGTCTGCAACCACGTGTCCACCAAAATCATCGAGTGCTCCAAGATGCAGAACAAGGAGGCAGCGGATGCCATTATGGTCTTTATCGGGTACGTGGTCCCAGCCATCGCTGTACTTTATGCACTTACGTTAATTTTGCGGATACGCAAAGAGGCGACGCCACTGGATCAAGACACGGGACGATTGGATCCGTCGGTGCACAGGCTTCTGATCGCCACGGTCTGTACACAGTTCACCCTGTGGACACCCTACTACGTTATTCTCCTGGTGAGCACGTTTACTAACGCGCAGGGAAGGATTGCAGACGAGAATTACAGGCGAATATTACATTTTACCAAGATTTTGTCCAAATTCTTGGCTTTCTCGAGCAGCTTCGTAATGCCCCTGCTCTACAGATACATCAACAAAAACTTTCCCAACAAATTGCGACGTTTGCTTAAAAAGATACACTGTGGGAATCAGGGGTGCTCTCACGAACGCACGGTCGTACAGCAAGTGATGACGTAGGGGTGGACCCCCCTGGGGTGCCCTGTCCCCGCAGAACGGGGACGGTGACCGTGCTGGGACGGGGACGGTGCGGCGCTGGCACCCGGAGGCGTTACTGGGAGTCCCAACCCAGGGGCTGGAACGAGCTTTCCATGACAGTGACATCAAACGGTCTTAATTTCCGACTAGTTAATTACTGAGATCTCGTGAGCCTCCAGCTCCGCGCTGCCGTACCTGTGACACCCAGTACTTCCACTGCACTGAACTGGTTTTAGAGCATAAACTCTGCCTTCGTCATGCCAATATTCCTGCCTGAAGAAATCACTAAGGGGTTTATTGGAGCCTTGGCTGAAGACACAGCACCTTGTATCTTGTATAGAAAAAGGTATTGCCTTATTTTCTGTACAGGGAAGTAACAGTGCTATCCTTGATGAAGAAAATAGTATTTTTCAATGAAGACGATATAGATGATCTTTACTAGAGATCATATTATCCGATTATACATGTCTGAGTAGTAAGTGTTAATTATAAATTAAATTATTTAATTTCTTTCTCCATCACTGAGTCCCCCTCTAAAAGAAGTCTAATTTACCGTTTTCTGAAATTATTTTCTCGCACAAACTAACCTAAGTTTTAATGTTTATGGTAAAGTGATTATTTTTTTTTCTAGATATAACAATTAACAAAAAATGTGTTTTATTTTTCCAGTGCTTTGTTTGCATCCTAAAACATTTCAAGAATTCAGAAATATTTATTAACTAATTCTAAGGGATTCTCTGAGAGATGTTTGTTCCGCGTATTAAAATGAAGGACACAGTGGTTTACAAAGTTAAATCAAAATTTAACTAGTAAAGAATGTCTGGCTAAGTGTTATGGTCCACATATGTTCATGTAACAAGAGTAATTATCTTAAAAATAAATATGTTTATGATTAACATTTTGTATTTTCAAGAGAGATGTTTGCAACAAATGAATTAAAGTCTCTTTAATCTAGGGCATCACTGGAGGTTTGGAAACCATACAAAATCCTGCAATACGTGTAAAATTTTAAACGGGGAATAATATACAGGCACCCCAGGCTTTGTGCCTCCCAATGGGATCTTGAATACACGACAAAATTATAGTTTCTGGATTTTGCAGTGGGGATGAACAAATCCAACCTGTTTTTGCCAAATTTTACTGAGTATATGAAATCCGTAAGATTTTGTGCTGCAGGAAGCAAATCACCTCTAACAGCAAATTAGGGAACACCGACCCAAAACCTGCCTGTTCCTGGGCTGCTGCTGCGTTATTCCTGTCAGAGAGGAGAGAAGTTAAACTGAGACTCTCCCACGGGTCTGGGGGTGGCAAGACACCTTCACCCCCCCCCCGCACCACGGCAGAATCAGTTAATTGCTTTCTCTGTCACAATACAACTCCAATTCCACAGCACTATTTAAAAAATGTGGCTTTTCCAGCCTCTAGTATAGAAAAAACCAAGGAGCAAAACCAGAATAGAACCTTTCCCATCACTTACAGCACAATCTCATCTCATAATTGGTCTTAATTTGACAGCGTGGAGGCAGCTCAAGTTCTAAGTGGGAAGCGGGTGGGGAAGAGCCTTTTTAGATCTTTTCCCTTCTCTGAGACATTATTCAAGTCATTTCATCTCAGCCATCTCCCCTTTTTCTTCGTCATATACAAGCACCTCTAAGTTACCAACATCCTGGTGGAAGACTCCCTGTTAATCTTTACTATTTTAATAGCTTTCCATATTTCATTGAATTTTTTAACCCTTAAACCCCTATAGAGTAAATCTTCTACGGCCTTTTCTGCACCCGAAAACTATATCAATTTATTTCATCGTTTTAGCCTGTTGATGAAAACCATGTTAAGAAATTAAGCTTTTCTTTATCACTGTGCCCGATTCACCCACTAATTTACAGTGCCTCTGTGCTGACACGATACCGGCTGCTTTGGTAACCAGGGGGTTGGTTGCTTGGGTTTTTTCCCCTTTAACTTGAGAGGTTTTCTATTAATTTCTACACTTTTGGAGCGTTCAAGCTCCCTTCCACACAGAAGCTCTTAAGACGGGAATCTTTCCTTACAACTGGCAACCGACCAGGCTCCTCTTCCCATCCCGGCAAAATGAGGTTTCCTAATGCACCACATTAAATCTCTCAGGTAAAAATCTGTTAAAGAAATTCCGCCCCATTATGCAGGAAAAAATTCCAGCAGGGAGGAACTGGCTTATCTGGTGGGAATGGAGGCTCCCAGGGCTGGGCCTCTGCCAGAACAGTGGGGCTGCAGAGCAGCAGGAACCGTGATTTTAACTTCATCTTTGCTGCTTCACTTCTCCTTCTCCCAAGGAATCTGACTTTCTGTCTCCAACAGGACAGTCCCATTTAGTTCTGTTCCTTTCTCTCCATGGTAAATTCCTTAGTTCAGACCACGGCTCTTTTATCATTTATCTTTTTCTCTTGGCTTTTTGCCTTCTCTGTGCTATTTATTTAATTTTTATTTTTCTCCTCTGGTTCTATCCAGGGTACCACTTGGTACCATTCCCCACTCACCTTCACTTCATTAGACTGATTCCTTCACAACGACCCAACCCTTATTCAACCATTTAACATTACAAATGGATTTCTGTAGTAAAATACAAGCTGCTATTTAAAAGGTGGAGAAAGAACAAGTTTTTGTATAATTTACCCTCAATTTTCATTTTTCCCGATATTTTTTATTGCAGCAGAGTTAAGTATGTTGGTGTCTATCCTTGATAATATACTGAACGTGATGACAATCATGGAGAAAAAGAACTCTCATAATTTAATGAATAAGACTGACATCTGCTCAACTTTTTTTAAGAGTTAATTCAATATATTATTTGCCTCAAAGAAAGTGTGCCACGGAGCTGCCCAACTCCTGTTCTCTTAAGGACATTCTGAACTTAATTGCAGCACCCTCACATGGTGCCTCTTAAAAAACAGTATCCCAAAAAGCAAGAACTTTGCAATATTTATATTTTTTTTAAAGTAGATGAGCAAGTGCAGTAAAATACTTAAAGAAGGAGAAATCTTTAAAATACAAAGTTCTCAAGAATGAGCCTTTCCATTTCACGTACCTGAAGGTTTCTGATGACTGTAAATAGGGGCTTATCTATTTCACATTTAAATAAATATGAATAAAATACTGTATATATGCAAGATAAAAATCAGCCTACTGATGTAAAAAAGAATTTGCAAAGAATTTATTAAATTATTTCTCAAAGTGTATGGTTTAAATGTAAACCTTGGAACAGTAAGGTGTACTGTATGTTTCTGTATGTATATACTGTATTCTAGAGAGTTAGCACTCATTAAGTGCCATTATTAACAGTGTTATTTTCTCAAAAAATTAAATTTAATATTTGAGTTGCTCTGTGGCTTATAGCCCTCTTGCTGAACCACCAATTAAGGCAAATCAATGAACTAATAAAAAATGTTGTGCTCTGCTTCTGCTTAAATTATTATCCCAGGGAGCTGGAGACAGGGCCGTGTCGACTCACCCAGCAGAGGTCCCAGCTTCAAGAGTTTTCATTTAGAGAATCGAATTGAGTTGGTCTCAAGACATAATTTCAGTTAATGAAGTGATCAACCCCTAGAAAATTTCTGGTTCTACTAAAGTGAAGAAATATGGCCTTCCATATTATGTCAAAATACTCTAGAAATGGACTTTCTGCAAAGCTTCACAAAGCAACTACTTACTGGTAAATTCTCAATAAAAAATGTTAAAGTGCATTTGGCCATAAAGATGCAAGTTTCGGGTTTTTTTTGGCCTTCTTGATCAAAACCTACTGTAGACAAGGTTAAACCCGTGTTGCATCCCTGAATCAAAACGTAACAAGTTACATGACTCGGATGTCAAATCGGACACGTTAAATTACCCCATTTACCAGGCCATAATTTCGCCGTCATTAAAATCTCATTACAGCGTGACGTTAAGATGGGACTGAGAGCAAAAAAGGACCAGACACACACCCTCCCCACATTTTTTTTGGCAGAATCCCGCAGCTGAAGGCGAGCGTGACCCTGTGCCGCAGGAACAGGAGGTGGTGACGGAGACGAACAGTCACCGTGTCCCTGTCACTTCCCCTCCTTTGTGCTGCCACCAGCGAGATCTCGGAAATCAGCTCCTGCAGAAACTCTCTTAGTTCCCAGAACAACACAATATAACAACCCCTACCTTTGGCATCCCCAGGAAAATTTAGCTTTACGAATATAAGATGCCTTGTAATACATTTATTGCAGTAACCACTGCCTATGAGCCAAAGATCAGTTAGTGCACCCCACGTATATGAAAATATTTTCCTGCTATACTTTCAAAATTAGTAATTTGTTCCCTTTAAATTTTCTGTAAAGTGGAGGAAGACAGCAAGCAAAAGCAGACTGTATTTAAAATGGTTATGAGTGAATTCTATAAGGAAAATAAAAAACAAAAAAACCCCTAATTTGTTCCCTTTAAATTTTCTGTAAAGTAGAGGAAAATAGCAAGCAAAAGCAAACTGTATTTAAAACGGTTATGAGTGAATTCTATAAAGAAAAACAAAACAAAACCAACCAACCAAACAAAAAAACCAAAACCCACAAACTTAGTCCAAGGCAGTTCTAAGGGTGAAGTCTCACAGAGAAATAAATGAAAATAGCAACTGTGAAAGTGGAAGCTGCAATATTATATCATTTAGTCAAAGCCCAGTATCCGACAAGATGCCTTTATAACCATCACGCATGAAAAGGCTGGATCAGTAAAACTCCTTTTAATCAACATAGACCTGAAGGATCTTAAATTCTAGTTAATAAGCAGCAATTTAACAAGCCTACAGGTTTGTAAAGGGTGAACTTCTATGCAAGTAAAGAGAGCTGATGGGGTGCAACCACATCAACAGCTTTACACTGTAGGAAGCAGGGCAACGGGGCATCAGAACCTGCCTTCTTCTGTCAGACCACAGAGGTTTCACTGCAGACAACCACATTTTGGAGCAGCCGCAGAAAATACATTATTAACCATCGTATAACAGTAAAATAGGCCCCAGGGCTGCCAAGAAAATACGCCGCCACTACCAGAAAAGTCAAAGGGAAGTAACACCTTGGCCTGTAAACTAAAATTCAATTGAATTGTTTTTGTGCTACAGATAAACGGGGGTCTAGCTCCATCCTTATCATTGCTGGTTAAGAATGACAGCAGTGCTCAGGCTGGGGATCTTCTCATGAGCTTCACCCACGGGGCACCAGGATGGCCAGAGAGAAGCAGAGCAGAAGCCGGGCAAGCACCACTCTGGTTCCGTGGTTTGTTGGGGGCTCGGAGAAGGACCCACCTCTGCCCAAGTTTCTGCAGCTCTGAAGAGCTCACCACCCTGAGGAATCTGCAGCATATGCCCGGAGATTAATATTTTGCCATTTCTTAGTAAGTGAAACCTTGTGTATGTCTTAACCAGCTCGTGCAAAGCTTCTTCTGAGCGAAAGGAACCTGAAGGCAATATTTTGCCATTTCTTAGTAAGTGAAACCTCGTGTATGTCTTAACCAGCTCGTGCAATGCTTCTTCTGAGCAAAAGGAACCTGAAGGCACAAACCCAGCTGCGGCAGCAAACCCACGTGAGAAACGTTTCCTCTGCTGCATGGCCTTTAGCTTTCCACTACACAGCAAAACACTTTGACCTACGCAGAAAACACTCTTTCCCCATCAGGAGAAAAAAAAAAGATTTATTATCTACTTTGCCATCTCACTTTCTTCCCACCAAGTCCTTGCCCTGCCTTGGAAGTCCATGTCATTTCCTTATATTCCTTCCTTCTAAAGAACTGGCAACTTGTAGTTACATTCACAAGAACAGTCAACATTATTCAGAGTCTACAGCATGCACAATTCTTATATTATTACAAATCATGACAGTAAGAGAGTTTTAGAACACCAGATTCTTAGAGCATTCATGAATTGAATACACTTTAAAAAAAATACTTCCTGCCAAAAGTTCTTTGAAACAAACAAAATTTATAACTCCGGAAAGAGAAACCATTATGTCTAGTTTAAAATTCGATGATGCATTATATGAAAAGATAAATAAGCAGCAGCATAAACACTCCCAACTCAGAGACCTGGAGAGGGGAGTAATAAGAAAAGAAACAGATTTCCAACGGGAGACACCTTGCAGGAACTGCACCTGAAGGATCCTGCCCAACAGGAGGAATAGTTCTCGTATAAAAACATAGAGAGAGTGTTTAACTTGGGATAAAGTTAACCTCGTATAAAAACATAGAGAGAGTGTTTAACTCTGGATAAATTTAACCTTCAAAAACACAGAATGAATCTCCGAAATTGAAGTGGTTTTCTCACAAATCTCACTGATACCGATAGGAAGTTCTTCTACTCATTCACTTGTATGTGACCAGATGCATTACGAATTACTAAATAAATTGAAAAGCCTAATTTTAGCAACAACATTTACAAATTTAAGCTAAAATTCATCCTGAAGTTGGTAGAATTTCCACAACTGTTTCTTAACTCATCTCTAAAACCTTTAAAAGATCATTTTGAAACTAATTCTGGCGTTATCAAAGCTGTTTCAGAAACTCCATCTGGTGGTCACTGGCAGAAATGCTCTTGCAGTTCCCAAAAGCAGAAAGATCAGTAAAACTAATTAAAGGGTTTAAGTTAATCATTAGAAAAGAAAAAAAATAAGAATCAGTCCAGTTTCTGGCTGAACACTGATTTGTAGGAGCTGGTCTTGTCTGCATAAGGGTGTCGCTGCAAGTATTTGTAAGAAGAAACAAAATTAACCGTCACTTCTCCAACAACCGGCTGCAGTGAGGATGGGGCAGGAAGAGAAAATTCTGTTGCAAGAAAAAAAATGGTCAATTTTGGTTTTGAACCTAACAGAAGGATATTTAAACAGGTGATTAGGTCTGATTCTTCACAAGAAAGAAATATTTCTAAAAAAGCACGTGTTTCTTGCATTGGTTTATGAACCATCTGGTACCGGTTGCCGTGGTTGACAAGATGCTCAAAGATCAAAGGAAGTGCCGTTCCCATTCAGCACCAGGGCACTGGAATTCCTTCTAATTAAGTTACGGTTTCACTAGTTTAGAATGAAATAGAATTCATACTTAATTAATACAGAAGTTTCTGAAATTTTTCAGGTCAGGCTACGTGCAATGAAATAATCATTCTAGCACCTGCAGTGCTAGGCAGAGACCAGCTCCTGTGTAAAACTTGCCATTAAAAAAGCTTTTTTCCACCCTTTCATAACAGAGTATTATTTGGAAATAAGGGCAATTTCTGAGCTCTCTCAGCTGAGTTACATCGATGATCTACCCACACAGAGGAATTTATTTTGTGATTGATAGAAACATTACTGTATGGTAATAATAATAAAATACTGTTTATAAAACAACTTACATTACAAAGAATGCCCAAAGAAGCCAATATAAAATCACTAATAGTGAATCATGGGCAAGCAACCCCGAGCTGTGAAGGCAGCAATCCCACGGCACAGAGTGTGGCTGATTTACCACCAGCCTCTGAGGCAGAGGTAATTATTAATACCAGTGCTTATGTGTACACAACTTGTGCTTTTTTTAACCCTATCCAAGCAGAGTGTTCCAAGGAAAGCCAGTAAGACCATCAAATTCTACAAATCCACATAGTTCCACATATCTTATACATCAGCGTAAGCATCTGAAATCCATTTAAAAAAACCCTAAAACCACACACTCAAAAAAAACCTCCCAAAACCGACCATGCAGGGACTATAATACAATAAAGATAAGCAAGCTTTTTATTCTAAAATTCATCCGGAGCCGCTGCCAAAACCACACTGGGTGGCTGGAAAGGGACCTCAGACTGTCCCTCTGTCCCTCTCCACATCCCGAGCTATCGAGATGGGGATCTGCATGGTGTAAACAGAAGAAAGGATATGGAGTTGGGAAACCTTGATTTTTCCACCCTCTACTTCTCTGGCTTTCAATTTATTCCATCCACTTGGAAGAAAGAATTTCTCAGGAGCCAAGTTTTTTCCACCTGTAAAATGGGGACACTTTCTGATGTGACTCTCTACGTACACATTCTGAAATCGTAATGTGCTATTTGCTCCCGATTCCAAGGATGATAAATGTTCTTGCCCTCTAAATACAACTGCATAATGAGGTTTAATACAGGTTTCAGTCGAATTATGAAATCATATTTGTAAATGTGAACATAATTTTGAAGACAGGAGTTTTCTCTAGGAATTTTTAATTTTTTTTTAAGATGAAGGCATAAGAAACAGCTTTTCTCTTTTTTGCTTTCCCGGTTCTATTTATATAATTTTTCTCATTAGCGGATAAGCTGCTCAGAGCTCTGCTTTCCACCTTGCGCTGTCAGGAAAGCGCTTTCTGAATAACAGGAAACGCAGCCTTAGCACTGCTGTGTCAGGGCTTATCTTCACTTGACTTACTCCCTGCTCACTGATTGCTAATTAACTCCGAATAACTTCAACCTTTCTAAGAGCGGTCTGATTATTCCTTAAACTTTCGGTGCAGCCATTAATTTGCTTTTATTTTACTAATAATAATCACAAAGGGCACGGCCAGATATCCTTGTGTACATCCAGCCAATGCAGCTCCAACAGAAGCACCAACCCCTAACAAGTCAAGTTGGTCTCTTCCAGTCGAGGAGATACTTTCTGAAATATTCCTGCAATTTCAAACCCAATCATTTGAGGGTGCTTAGATAGTTTAGCGGGCTCTCTGCACAGCCCTGAGTCCTAGGTGACACTTGCATGGAAAATCAATGTAAAAAAAATAATTGCCTGACTCACACATGATCACAATGAATATTTTTTTCCTTTACCCTTCTTAACTATGAGAAGTTAACACAACAAAACTCGGACTTGGGCACACCCCAAAGGCAAATGCTATTTACAGAACACCTACACGGCCAGCTTTAACCAAGTTTTTCAGTAACAATTTGGAGGAATTACTGTAAATGGGAGGGAAACAATCCACCCACTCCAACAAACTACTGTGCTGAGATGATAAAAACCGAAGTCAGTATGGGACATTCAGAATAACAAGTGTAAGGTCATTGGAAAGCAGATTTCGAGCTGCTGTGGAGCTCAGCTACTGCCCAAAGAACAGGAACATTCATCCAAGAGCTGAAATTCTTCAGTCTCTGCAGCATCCCTACGCCCTCCACACACATCCCTGGTTTCAGAGCAGCATTTGGAGCAGGAATGCGCACCGTCATGTGGAAATGTAGACCTAGCAATGAAGTATTTTCTCCAGGTAACCCACAATTCCAATTTTGAAATCTAGATTCATACGCGTTTGTCTCGTTTCATTTCTTTAAGGTGTTTTGCCTCTTTCCATGTGTTTTTCAGCAAAGCTTGTTGAAGTGCAACGAGTAAGAGGCCATGAAAACAGAGAGCACCGGTCAAACACTGGTCACAAATGATCTTCTCAACCTCTGAAAGCCACTGCAGACTATTAAAAGATTACAATAAAAATGTTCTTTCCCATGTGCTGGTATGAGAAAACATGAGGCTACCGATGTGCTCCAGCCAGCAAGGCTGCAGGCACGAGAAAAATCATCAGCCAACCCTTTCTTGCTCGTGTATATTTGAGGTTTTAAGAACACCATTAAACACAGTCACTAAGACGACTGATGCTGAGCCAGACCCCAAACATATTACAGACTCAAAATCCTGTCTTTTAACACCTCGTGGCCACTGCAGAGCATCTGGAAAAATAATTTATTGCATGTGTACAATACTGGGAGCGTGCCAAGAGCTGGGACCCACAGGAGCACAGAAATACACCCTATTTTTAAGAAGGGATCTTAATATTTTTGTCAGGCACTGCTTCTGTGTCGAGTTTTTACCTTCTTCAGCAAGGGGCCTTGCTTGGTATTTATTCAACAGGCTTTTCCTTTTCTAGACCTCTAGCACTTCACAACAGCACACGAGAAAAAAATGTAATTGGAAGGGCTGGCCAAGGCGTGAGGCATTACTTCATGGACAGGAGGGCTGGCCAAGGCGTGAGGCATTACTTCATGGATGGGAAAAAAAATAAATCCACTGGATGGCCTCACACACTTAGAAATAGCCGGCGACAAACACTACTTTTCTGTTCTAAAATATCTGGCTGCAGAGGATAATTTGAACTTCTCAAGTCACATGATGAAACCATAGGTTTGCTAACCATGCAACGTGGATGGGCTGAATGACTTACCCCCAGTTCCTGTTTCCTTCACACAACTCGGTGGTTTTGTAGCGAACGAGCAGCCGGGTTTTTCATCGCCGTGTACAGCAGCTGAAGAAGTTATGGTAATATATACACCCTGCTTTCGACATCAATAAAGAGGGCTATATCCTCCAGACAATAACTGTATTTCAGCTGAGCATCCACAGTGAGAGTCTCGGCCAGTTGTGTCTGTGGAGCATTTTCTTGAGAAGGTAAGTGCTTTATATTACTTTGAATGTACAATGTTTTATTCATCACAAGAGGCTCAAACTGTGAAGCTAAGGTTATAATTTAAGGTTTTTTAGTTTTCCCGTCTTTAACACTATCTGAACTACCCTAAGTAAAATACTTTATCCGGGAAACATCCTCGGAAAGCTGAAGTTTATAATAAAGCTGAGCATTACACAGAGTAAATGTGAAGGCTGTTTTCTGGGAAATACTTAACTCCCATCAAACCACCGATGGCCACAGGATGAAATACCCGTCAGAGGTCGGGACAGACTCCGACCATCCCCTAAGAGCAGCCTTTGAAAGGAGGGAGGTTGTTGGATAATCCTGACTGCGCTGCGAGGATTTGTATAGGGCAGGAAACACGTCAGCGATGCTGCTGGAGATTGCATTCAGGCACTGCTGATTCATTTACAGGCTGGAAAAGTAAAAATAAAAACTTTCAGTTGCTCAGAAACTGATCATTTTTCAGAGGGTAAGGACGGGATTTCTTAAATCTTTACAACCTCAAATATTTGCCCAAGTGTAGGAATTTTGCCATTGCAAGAAAAATAAATATGGTATTTCACATTTCAGTCTTTCATACTTTCAGACCAGCTTCTCACTTCCCGACCTACTATGAACAGACAGAACAAATTCACGTATATATTAGCCCCCCGCCCCCCAAATTACATCCTGCGTGGGCCCGTGACGACGCTGCACGTGCCCACCAAGAGCAGAATTCCACCAGGAATATTAGGGAGGGATGAAAGAATATTTTCCTTCCATCGGCCGGTGACAGAAGGGAGAAAGCTTTTATAGAGGAAGAGTTCTGGCTGCCAGGGAGAAACTCCCCGCTTTAAGGAGCTCTTCTTTCTAGACTTTAAATAAACAAAAGTTTCCTTGAAACTAAGCTCTCCGTTTGCAAGAGTCCAACCTTCAAAGCGGGGCCGGGGGCCCGAAAACAATGAGATCTCAGAGACCGGGTCCTCTCCCTGCTCAAAGGCGGTTTTAAGCTGCTGCTGAACACTCTGCTCCTGTGCTCAGCTCCATCTGTTGGAAGTGAGGGATAACCTGTTTGCTTCAGAAACCAAAAATCAGACGTATTTGCTTCAACCGCTGAGCTGAAAGGGAGAGTGGGTGGCCAGAAAGAGGAAAAAAAAAAAACACCCCAAGAAAAAAAATGAGGCCACTTTTCAAGGAAGGACCCACAACACGAGAATGACGGTCAGTTAAAGTCAGGGGGAGCAGAGGAAAGAAGGGACAAAACATTGGAGCGTGACATTACAGGGGAAGACAATGCAAGCAGCCTATTGCAAATTTCCCTCATTAATTAATCTTAAGAGAAACAGACGAACTGGCGGGTACAGGAAGAGAAACTGAAATAATGCACTTTCTTGCACAGTGTGTTGTAGCGACTGGAATACGTTGCATTGAGTCTAAAGTTCCTGACTTTGCCTTAAGCACCCCAAAAGTAGCTAAATAAAATAAAAATACCTTGTGGTCAAAGACAAGCCCAGGGTCACTTCCAAGGGCAGATCCTGAGCAAATTTAATCAACTTCTGGCAATCTTTATTTTTTTTTCCTGTCATTTGATGTAAAAGCCACACGGTTTCCCATGAAACCAAAACTATAGCCTTTGTTTCCTTCACAATTATGTCACCGTAAAAGTTGAAGGATGCTAAGCTGGTCTGAGATTTGCTGCAAGGCCAGTGAGTGTGGTCCATTGGCCCATGGTGTAAGAGTTGAGAAAGTAATGGAGACCTTTACAGTGCCAGAATGGAATTCAAATGTTGAGCCCTGCAAACCTGTTCATAGTTAAAAATCTATTTTTAAGCTTCAAAATTATATCATAGAATGGTTAGAGTTGGAAGGGACCTTAAAGCCCCCCCAGTGCCACCCCTTGCCCTGGGCAGGGACACCTCTCACCATCCCAGGTTGCCCAAAGCCCCCTCCAACCTGGCCTTGAACCCCTCCAGGGATGGGGCAGCCACAGCTTCTCAGGGCAACCTGGGCCAGGCTCTCACCACCCTCACACCAAACAAGTTCTTCCCCACATCTCAGCTCCATCTCCCCTCTTTCAGTTTAAAACCATTACCCCTTGTCTTATCAACTCTCAACTTGCTTGAGAGACTTCCACCAGTTTTGCCCATCCACGCTGTCCTACCCGGCGTGACCCAGCTCCGAGGTGAGAACTTGGCCAGAGCCAGACCTGCCACCTCTGTCCCTCCTGCACCTCTAACAAACCACTGCCCTGGTCCTTCCTGCGCTGGAACCTCTCCAAAAATCACCTTTTCTAGAAAAGGAAGAAACTCTGTCTTTAAAAGGGGACAAAAAGCACTGCTGAATCAAAACACAACTCCACGGTTTTATATAAATGAAATTATAATTATGTAAGATTATATACACTTAATCAAAGCCACTTCGATAAGTCAACTTTTCTAATTAAAACCAGTATTAGAATTCCAATTTTGAGGAGAGATTAGAAATATCAGAAATGTGAAGTAGTGTCAGAGGTAACAACCATAAATGAACTGTCAAACAGCATTAAGGCACTGACTTATCTATAATGAGCACTGCTTAAAAACATTAATGCATCTTTACGAACTTTTACCAATTTAAAGTTACTTTCGCTTTAAGAGTTAACATCACCAGAATCCCTTTACTGGAAATGCATTATGTACAACTAAGTAGATGGCTCTCAGTACTAATATGACTGTATAGAAACTTCTGTAAGGAGAATTCCACTGTCCTCTGTTTGCCCCGTGCCCTACGTACGTTGCTTGTGCAGAGCAGCTCTGTGTACGTTTGCCCCGTGCCCTACGTACGTTGCTTGTACACAGCTCTGTGTACAGCAGAACAAAAGCAGAACAAAGTAAAAACACCAAATAATCTAACACAAAATTGAAATTCTGGTGATTAAATCATTTTTTTTCCCCAGAAAACAACATTCTACACTGTAAAAATACCTGTATGTTTGACTTTTTCCAATACAAAGGACCATGCTTAATCAGACATTCAAAATTAACCAGGAATAGTGAGTTTATATCTTATGTTGAAAAAAAAAAATTATCCTTTGTAACTACAAAAAAAAAAGTATGTTATTTTCTTCATCAATCAGTACAAGGCACACAGAAATTTTCTTTTAGAAATTGAGTTAATTACGCTTTTAGGTCATCTGTAAAACTTATATATCTATATCTATTACACTCAGTTTTTCATGAGTACATATTATGTTCTCCTACAAAGCTTTTTGGCTTAAAAAAAAGGATCCTCCAAATGTTTATATGGTAGCAGAATTATTATATCAACATATCATAGAGTCATTACAGCTAACAGCCTATCCATATTACTCCCTATTTTCAGGAATTTATAACTCAACTGTAAAAAAATGTTCCTTGCTAAAACTTTATCAATAGCCTTATAATGCCCCAGTAATCATTTTCTCAAATTCCAGCATGCAGAAAAGCATTATTTTTATGCAGCTTTATGCAACAGCTACATCTAAAAACGACAGTATTATTAATGCATAAAGATGGTTTAGTATGAAAGCAGTTTGTTCATAACAGTTCTTAAACATTCACATTCATTTTTTAGGGGCTCCTCAGCACTGACTGCGGTCATGAAAGGCTTTTTTTTTTTTTTTTTTTTTTCCAGAACAGAAAGGAAGCAGAACTAAAACAAAGAAAGTAATGTGCCTCTTGCCTCGTATTGTGATTATCTCTGCATTTTCCCCAGTGTGGGGTGTGAGCTCTGGGACTGTCAGCTGGGTTCAAATTAGACACAAACTCCCAGCCTTGCGACCGGGCAGCGAATTTTAGTGGGATTTAGTGGCCGTAGCTGCAGCCCACAGCCTGGCACTGCCCTGTGTGCTGCCCTCCGCCTTCTTTGGCGAGATGGGCAGGAAAACCAGCTCCACTGAATCCCAGTGCCAACTCCTTCCTCGCCCACCAAGGGCCAGCTCTTCCCTCCATCTGCTGGCCCACCCCAGTCCTGGCCACAGGAAAGTCCCGTCAGCACCAAGAGGGGGTTGTGGGCTGAGCAGGAACTGGGTAAAACGTAAAAAGGCAGATTTCTCTGGCTAAAAACATTACGCAAATTTCCTTGAAATTCAAATGGGAACATAAAATCCGCCCCAAAAAAGTGCCCGCATTTATTCATAGAATGATAGAATTGTCCGGGTTGGAAGGGACCTTTAAGACCATCTAGTCCAACCATCAACCTCACTCTGATAAAACCCATCACTGAATTTCACTGAATTTTTAGAGTTGGAAGGGACCATAGAGATCATCTAGTCCAACTCCCCTGCTAAAGCAGGACCACCCAGAGCTTGTCAGAGCATGTTACTCAGGACGGCATCCAGGTGGGTCTTGAAAATCTCCATCACTAAGCACTATGTCAACTCGTCTTATAAATCCCTCCAGTGATGGTGCCTCGTTCACTGCCCTGGGCAGCCCATTCCAAGGCTTAAAGCACATAGAATGGTTTGGGTTGGAAGGGACCTTAAAGGCCATCCAGTCCCACCCCCTGCCTCGGGCAGGGACACCGTTCTGAACGAATGGCTCATATTGCACATGATATTTCACGCACAAATTGGAGACATCACAATCTGTACTTTAAAACCTGTTTTGCCTTCCTTTTTCAGTTCCAAACCCCACGGTGTGGAAGGGAGGATGACTTTCCACAACATGACGTGGATCGGCTACCCAAGCAAGAACCCGGCTTTCACCCCCCCAGATGAGATCGAGGCCTTAATCGCTTCTCAAAACGTCATCTCCAGAATCATGCACTGTTACATCGCCTTTTTTGTCCCAACAGGATTAATAGCTGGCATATGTATTTTGATCATTTTCATAAAGAATTATTCGCAGTACAAAGTCATGGAAAACTTAGACTTGTTTCTTCTATACTTCACCATCAGCAACATTATAATGATTCTTTTATCGTTTACTGTCACCAACAGACCTGACTATTTAAAAGCAACCTGCCTCGCCTGCAATGTTCTGTCCTTCTTCTTCAACTTCAGTTATTTCAATTCTCAATACATTCTGATTTTGATGCTTCTCATACTATTACTGGAGAGATTTCCACCGAGGACCGTGCTCATCCAGGGAACCTACCAACCCATGTTGTGTGTTGGACTTGCCTTCTGTTTGGCGCTGACTGGGGCGGTACTGGTTGGCACAGATAACTACCAGTTGAAAACAGACTGCCAGTTGGACCCATTATTTGCGTGGCCCGAATACGAGATCGTTAAATTCACCTTTGGATTTGGAATCCCATCGTTTCTTCAGATACTCTGTTTTACTGTTCTCTTGGCTAAAGCGGCACCTCCTGACGCTCCAGCCTTACAACAGCACTTCCGTATTTACCCCGCTGTCTACATTATAAATATAACAATATTTATATGCCGTCTATTTTATAACGTTATGATTCTCTTCAGGGCAATGCTCAAACTACAGAAGAGCATTGGAACTCCCAAGAACGAGCTCGTGATGAATATTGCAGAAATAGTGCTGTTCTGTGAGAGCTGTGCCAGTTTGCTGTTTATTCTTTGTTTTCATAAACCCTGCAAGGATGAAATACTTCGTGTCATCCACAACTGCCGACGGAGAAACACCGCCAGCAACCACCTGGAAATACCAGTAACAACCCCCATCCACGAAAGCGGGTCTCAGTAAACCCCGCTCTTCTGGAGAACTGTCAACCCCCTTCACTTTTTTTAGCTTGTTTGTGGGTTTTGGTTTGGTTTTTTTACTTCTCCAAAAGAGGATAATCGTTCCTTCTTTAGAACCCGACCCTGGACTATCTCACAGCTCCCAGTACTGGAAGAAAAAGATATTTAGTTCTAGTATTTGCAATGATCTATGAGAAAACATGTAGGGTCTGGGGTTATGGGGGAGTTTTTTCATATAAATATATATATATATAAATCTTCTATTTTCTGCAAGTGTTACTTCAAAGCCAAGTAGAAGAAGAGTACTGTTGCCATAGAATTGTGCTTTTGTAATAATATCAATGTCCTGGCAAAGATGCAAACAAAAACATAGCAGAAAACAACTTTGAACACAGGTAAAAATCTGCAGCCAAAGCCTTCCCTCAGATGTGCTTCTTTTGACTTCTTACCCTACAAACTACTTGTTTTTATAATGTTGCTAAAATCTAGTAGCAGCAGCAGTGAAATGTGGCTTAAAAACCCATTATAATCCTGAAATAGTATGTGATATTATAAGCCTACTGTAATAGTTGTTTATATTTTTATATATACACACACAAACTGAGCCTTTCTTCCCTTTTTCCATTTTCCTTTTCTGTTTTTATTGGAACCCTTAAGGTTTTTGTGTGAATTCTTGTGCCAGAAAACAGAATTTTCAAATTAATGGAAACGCTGGTCCATAAAGGAAAGCCTCGGGTCCTTTGTGAGGCACTGAACTGGAAAGATCAACAGGATGGCTAATTAAAACTTTGTGCAAGAATGAAAGCTTTTCGTTAATGCACTCTCAGCTTCAACTTTGCATTAAGACTTACAGCAATTATTGATTTAAGCCATTCTTGATGAGCTCATTCAGAAGTACGAAGCCGTGTGCTTTGGAAGAGCCACATTCAATAATATACTAACTAAAAAAAAAAAAAAGGTATGTCAGTCCAGAACGGCAAACTGAGGTGTGTTTTTAAAAAAAATAAAAGCAGAGCCCCAGTCCCAAACCGAAATGGGGATCTGCTGGAGACAAGACAGGAGCATTAGATATTTAGATGAGAATTCATGGGGAAATGGTGCAAAATGGGAAGAAAAATCTGAGTGGGAGAATAAGGCAGCTGCGCACAGGAGCTCGGCCAGAGCCCTGCAGGATCGGCGGCTGATGGAGGGCCAAAGTTGGAAATTCTTGCTTTGAGCACATTGCTACTGTCACCAAATTTGGCCAGGAGCCACGTTACACACTTGGCTTCGGTTTCAGCTTTTCCTCTCAAGAGGTGGAGAGAACAGAAAGAACAAGGAAGACAAAAAACTGTACTGGATCTTGGGTAAAGACGTAGACTTTGATTGCAAAGTTACATAAATAGGGTAATGTGATGAGGAAGGCTCAAGTGGCCTGAAGGGTTCTGAGAAAAGCCACTTTGACGCTTAAATATGTGCCTTTGCACAACACCCGGGTGCTCACAGAACGGAGAGGTTGTTTTGCAGTTGGGTGCTTTGGAAGGTCTTCCCAAGGGGTCCCGATTTGTCTGGAGAACTGGTGCAGATCAGCATGGGCTGCTGGAGACAGAGAAAGGCAAGCACTGATGGGTCAAGAACAACAGCCAAAGTGCATAAATGGGAGAACAAAGGACATTTGTTCAGCTATAATACAGAATATAGATTCAGTATCTAGATACATGGACCTAGTCTTGGACACTCAAGCCCTGAATTTTATAGACCATGACCGTATCACATGTGAAAAAAGGGGAATGCGGAGTCTCACTATGATCACAACATTTCTGCAAGACGTAAAAACCAGCCACTAAGACATCTGCACTGTATTATGTCAGCCTGTTTTCCTCCTCAATTTTACTCTGCTGCCAGCATGAGCAGAAGGATAATTAAAGAACACTACGTATAAACAGACCGTTATAGGACCTGCTCAGAAAGGAAGAATGTTGATAAGAATCATCCCTTTGCATCCAAGAGCCAACGTCACCCTCGTGAAAGGATTTCTCAGCTGGCATCAGAGGGTTTGCCTTGCACCTGAGAAGAGGGAGATGAAACAACATGGCCCGAAGATCAGCCCGGCAGAAAGAAGTCTGGAGAGATGAGTTGTAGGAGCTGCACGTCAGTGACAAAGCCAACAGACTGAGTGAAGGAGTTTGTCAAAAGACACAAGCTGTTCCTCCCGATTCAGACAGAACATCATCATTTCAGCTGCGCCACGGATAAGTAGGTTATTTTCTGGTATGGGAATTACACACAAAGGATTCTACTTGATTCACTGCTTCCATATATTTTATATTTGAGGATGAAAGAATAAATATCGTGTTGTTTCTGAGTCCTGAGTTACTGTTAAAGGTGCCTTAAAGAGAACCTGGTCAGTAAGTGTTGGCTGTAGGCAGGTAACGTTGGCAGAGACCTGGCAACTGGTCTAATGGTGAGCAAATCACAATAAAGCACCTGTAAAGAGCCTGAAGGTTCCACAGGGTGGAAGGATGCTTCATGATGCTCTTGGCAAGGTACACAGCTAGAGCAGAGCCATAACCAAAGGTCTCGTGGAAATCAAAGCTGTAGGGACCTCCTGTCAGCTCTAGGATTTAGGAACGAGCCCAGCTTGTCAAGAATGAACCACTGTGTATAAATCAGAGTGCTCCTGGGTACAGCTCCTGGCTGTCAGCTGTGAAGGAACATACTCTGGTCTCCTCCCTGTCCACAGCTACTGTTGGGGGAAAAACCAGAGTATTTTCTGGATGGCTGGTTATATTGGCATCAAGAAAAATCTCTATGTACAATGAAAAGACTTTGTAAATTAATAGGAGCAAACAAAGGTAAACAGGAGAGGTTGAAAAAATGCAACATAATAATTCAAATAGTTATGAATATAACTTACAGCAATACAGAAATGTTTTGTTAAATCATTCTTGATAAACTTACTCATAGCTTACATTAAAATTCAGGACAACGAACGTGCAGTCCTAGAGAAAATCTACTTTTATCCAGCTAGCACATGAGGGCAAGCACCCCTATGTGCAACAGGGGAAGGGCCAGAAATACGTATCGAAAGGCATTCCAAAATAGTCTGATATGAGGGAGAGAAGAGCAGCTTTGGCTAAGATTAAAAGTAATTACTTTTAAGTGATTAATAACTTGAAGTGTATTTTTAAGAACAAAAAATCTCCCTTTTTTCCAGAACAGAAAGGAAGCAGAACTAAAACAAAGAAAGTAATGTGCCTCTTGCCTCGTATTGTGATTATCTCTGCATTTTCCCCAGTGTGGGGTGTGAGCTCTGGGACCGTCAGCTGGGTTCAAATTAGACACAAACTCCCAGCCTTGCGACCGGGCAGCGAATTTTAGTGGGATTTAGTGGCCGTAGCTGCAGCCCACAGCCTGGCACTGCCCCGTGTGCTGCCCTCCGCCTTCTTGGGCAAGATGGGGAGGAAAACCAGCTCCACTGAATCCCAGCACCACCTCCTTCCTCGCCCACCAAGGGCCAGCTCTTCCCTCCATCTGCTGGCCCACCCCAGTCCTGGCCACAGGAAAGTCCCGTCAGCACCAAGAGGGGGTTGTGGGCTGAGCAGGAACTGGGTAAAACGTAAAAAGGCAGATTTCTCTGGCTAAAAACATTACGCAAATTTCCTTGAAATTCAAATGGGAACATAAAATCCGCCCCAAAAAAGTGCCCGCATTTATTCATAGAATGATAGAATTGTCCGGGTTGGAAGGGACCTTTAAGACCATCTAGTCCAACCATCAACCTCACTCTGATAAAACCCATCACTGAATTTCACTGAATTTTTAGAGTTGGAAGGGACCATAGAGATCATCTAGTCCAACTCCCCTGCTAAAGCAGGACCACCCAGAGCTTGTCAGAGCATGTTACTCAGGACGGCATCCAGGTGGGTCTTGAAAATCTCCATCACTAAGCACTATGTCAACTCGTCTTATAAATCCCTCCAGTGATGGTGCCTCGTTCACTGCCCTGGGCAGCCCATTCCAAGGCTTAAAGCACATAGAATGGTTTGGGTTGGAAGGGACCTTAAAGGCCATCCAGTCCCACCCCCTGCCTCGGGCAGGGACACCGTTCTGAACGAATGGCTCATATTGCACATGATATTTCACGCACAAATTGGAGACATCACAATCTGTACTTTAAAACCTGTTTTGCCTTCCTTTTTCAGTTCCAAACCCCACGGTGTGGAAGGGAGGATGACTTTCCACAACATGACGTGGATCGGCTACCCAAGCAAGAACCCGGCTTTCACCCCCCCAGATGAGATCGAGGCCTTAATCGCTTCTCAAAACGTCATCTCCAGAATCATGCACTGTTACATCGCCTTTTTTGTCCCAACAGGATTAATAGCTGGCATATGTATTTTGATCATTTTCATAAAGAATTATTCGCAGTACAAAGTCATGGAAAACTTAGACTTGTTTCTTCTATACTTCACCATCAGCAACATTATAATGATTCTTTTATCGTTTACTGTCACCAACAGACCTGACTATTTAAAAGCAACCTGCCTCGCCTGCAATGTTCTGTCCTTCTTCTTCAACTTCAGTTATTTCAATTCTCAATACATTCTGATTTTGATGCTTCTCATACTATTACTGGAGAGATTTCCACCGAGGACCGTGCTCATCCAGGGAACCTACCAACCCATGTTGTGTGTTGGACTTGCCTTCTGTTTGGCGCTGACTGGGGCGGTACTGGTTGGCACAGATAACTACCAGTTGAAAACAGACTGCCAGTTGGACCCATTATTTGCGTGGCCCGAATACGAGATCGTTAAATTCACCTTTGGATTTGGAATCCCATCGTTTCTTCAGATACTCTGTTTTACTGTTCTCTTGGCTAAAGCGGCACCTCCTGACGCTCCAGCCTTACAACAGCACTTCCGTATTTACCCCGCTGTCTACATTATAAATATAACAATATTTATATGCCGTCTATTTTATAACGTTATGATTCTCTTCAGGGCAATGCTCAAACTACAGAAGAGCATTGGAACTCCCAAGAACGAGCTCGTGATGAATATTGCAGAAATAGTGCTGTTCTGTGAGAGCTGTGCCAGTTTGCTGTTTATTCTTTGTTTTCATAAACCCTGCAAGGATGAAATACTTCGTGTCATCCACAACTGCCGACGGAGAAACGCCGCCAGCAACCACCTGGAAATACCAGTAACAACCCCCATCCACGAAAGCGGGTCTCAGTAAACCCCGCTCTTCTGGAGAACTGTCAACCCCCTTCACTTTTTTTAGCTTGTTTGTGGGTTTTGGTTTGGTTTTTTTACTTCTCCAAAAGAGGATAATCGTTCCTTCTTTAGAACCCGACCCTGGACTATCTCACAGCTCCCAGTACTGGAAGAAAAAGATATTTAGTTCTAGTATTTGCAATGATCTATGAGAAAACATGTAGGGTCTGGGGTTATGGGGGAGTTTTTTCATATAAATATATATATATATAAATCTTCTATTTTCTGCAAGTGTTACTTCAAAGCCAAGTAGAAGAAGAGTACTGTTGCCATAGAATTGTGCTTTTGTAATAATATCAATGTCCTGGCAAAGATGCAAACAAAAACATAGCAGAAAACAACTTTGAACACAGGTAAAAATCTGCAGCCAAAGCCTTCCCTCAGACGTGCTTCTTTTGACTTCTTACCCTACAAACTACTTGTTTTTATAATGTTGCTAAAATCTAGTAGCAGCAGCAGTGAAATGTGGCTTAAAACCCCATTATAATCCTGAAATAGTATGTGATATTATAAGCCTACTGTAAAAGTTGTTTATATTTTTATATATACACACACAAACTGAGCCTTTCTTCCCTTTTTCCATTTTCCTTTTCTGTTTTTATTGGAACCCTTAAGGTTTTTGTGTGAATTCTTGTGCCAGAAAACAGAATTTTCAAATTAATGGAAACGCTGGTCCATAAAGGAAAGCCTCGGGTCCTTTGTGAGGCACTGAACTGGAAAGATCAACAGGATGGCTAATTAAAACTTTGTGCAAGAATGAAAGCTTTTCGTTAATGCACTCTCAGCTTCAACTTTGCATTAAGACTTACAGCAATTATTGATTTAAGCCATTCTTGATGAGCTCATTCAGAAGTACGAAGCCGTGTGCTTTGGAAGAGCCACATTCAATAATATACTAACTAAAAAAAAAAAAAAGGTATGTCAGTCCAGAACGGCAAACTGAGGTGTGTTTTTAAAAAAAATAAAAGCAGAGCCCCAGTCCCAAACCGAAATGGGGATCTGCTGGAGACAAGACAGGAGCATTAGATATTTAGATGAGAATTCATGGGGAAATGGTGCAAAATGGGAAGAAAAATCTGAGTGGGAGAATAAGGCAGCTGCGCACAGGAGCTCGGCCAGAGCCCTGCAGGATCGGCGGCTGATGGAGGGCCAAAGTTGGAAATTCTTGCTTTGAGCACATTGCTACTGTCACCAAATTTGGCCAGGAGCCACGTTACACACTTGGCTTCGGTTTCAGCTTTTCCTCTCAAGAGGTGGAGAGAACAGAAAGAACAAGGAAGACAAAAAACTGTACTGGATCTTGGGTAAAGACGTAGACTTTGATTGCAAAGTTACATAAATAGGGTAATGTGATGAGGAAGGCTCAAGTGGCCTGAAGGGTTCTGAGAAAAGCCACTTTGACGCTTAAATATGTGCCTTTGCACAACACCCGGGTGCTCACAGAACGGAGAGGTTGTTTTGCAGTTGGGTGCTTTGGAAGGTCTTCCCAAGGGGTCCCGATTTGTCTGGAGAACTGGTGCAGATCAGCATGGGCTGCTGGAGACAGAGAAAGGCAAGCACTGATGGGTCAAGAACAACAGCCAAAGTGCATAAATGGGAGAACAAAGGACATTTGTTCAGCTATAATACAGAATATAGATTCAGTATCTAGATACATGGACCT